CAGCTGAAGACACAGCACTTCTTTTTGTCCAGGCATTGTCTGTGCCTTGTACACACATCCCTTTCTCTGAATTCATTCTTCTCTGATTGTGGGACATCTCCCTAGGGAAGGAGCAGTTTCACACCCATGTGCTTTAGAAACTGAGGCCCACAAAATGTAAGTAACTTGCCCAAGATTACAGGGCTACCAAGATTTGAACCCACTAAGTCTGATTCCAGATCCCTCTGTAGTTTTAAGATCCCTTTTCAGAAATCCTTACTTCCTGAGTATTCAGCAAATGATAACAATGATCATTGTTACATTATAGTCATGGAATATTAGTGTCTGAAGTTTAAAGGGACTTCTGGATGCTGTCCTTTATCTCAAAGTAGGGAGCCCCTAGGGATACAGGGACACTTTATGGGACCACATTTGAAAGAACCAGGAGTGAATAGAGATGATGCCTCAAGGAAGGGGCCTGTTTTGCTCACGGGGTAAGGAGAAGGTCCCTTGGTTTCCCGGATTCCTGTAGTGACTCCCCTGAAAGCTAGATCCTATGACTCTCCTCCACCTCCTTGATAAAGGCCCTCCACTTCAAAGGGGCTGAAAGTGGGGATTGCCTAAGTCGGGGTTACTGCATTCCCAGAAGGGATATTCCACAGGAGGGATCTTACAAAGATCTCTCTCCTCTCCCAACCCGAGACCTGGGCTAAGATGGTGGAAAACAACCCAGATCTGAAGAGTTGTTCCCTGTTCCTTCCTCCCAGCAGACTCCCCTCTCTCTAGGGTAAGGGCTGAGGCCAATACTTACTGGGAAATAACCAATCAGTCAGACCAGGTCCTTGGACATTCGCTAAGAGGATGAATAGCACCAGGAGGCTCAAAAGTCCCGAAGATCCCATGCTGAAGAGAGGCCAGCCTTTCTGGTGGTTCCAGAATTTGGGATACTCAGCTGCTGCACCTTGGATATAAGAACTGGAGACAAGCCGGCCACCCCCTTTCTTCTGGGAACACTAAGTTCCCAAGGTCACAAATGGGAGTAACTGGCACCCACAGCTCACAGAGTGGGAGGAAGGGTCTCTCATCGAATGGATCTTGATCCTTACACCCCTAGGATGCACTGGACTGAGGGCTCTAGTCAACCCCAGGGAGTGGACAAAGTGTGTCTCCCACCTTCCAGGCTGCCTTCAGAGTGAATGCCACCATCTTGGGTCTTCATCTTGTTAACTTGGAGAGTGGTGGAGTGTCCTCATTCTTCATTCATTTTCCATCGTACGTGCGCACTTATGGGCGCACTCCTTCTGCTTGTCTCTGACAATGTGTCCCTGTTGGTCTCTTGGTATCTCATTGTTTATCTGTGCCTCTCTGTGCCTAAGTCTGTTTCTCTTTCCCCATGGTCTCTGTGTTCCTTTCTCCCTCTTCCACAGTTTCCTCCCATCCTTCTGTCTTTGGTTTTATCTTTGGTTCACTCATATTCATTGACTAAGGCCAAAGAATAAAGATTTGCCACAGAACAGGGTGTAAGGGAGGAATCAGGCTGATAGCAGAGTCTTCAGAGAATGTTTCTCAAAGTTTCATGGCTCTGAGAGCAAGAGAGAATATCAGATCTTAGAGGGAGCCTTTATCATCAATGCAAGCTCCTTCATAGCTGAGGAACTACGTCATGAAGGGATTTGCCTGAGAGACTACAGTGGAATAAAGTTCAGTAACACAGCAGACTTTGGGGATTCTAACTGGGATAGGAGAGGAGCAGTGGGAAAGAGGTGCTGGGGAACTTGGACAGCTTTCCGTTCCTACAGCCACGGAATCTTCACCGGCCACTCAGCCAGTCCTGGGAAGGAGAGAGACACTTTCCAGAGTAAATGTTATCCCTAGGGTTCCCGTTTTCTTCTCTAACTAGGTGTTACCCTTTTGGGCCAGGTTTGTTCTCCAAATATTCCTACATGACAGACAGAGGCCAGAGAAAGGCAACCTTATCATCAGAGAGTGACTATACGGTCACAAAATTTAGTATCAGAGACAGAGCCCCCATAAGAGTCCCATGCCACCAACTTGACAATCTCACTTAAAGAGACTACCAAATTTGAATTGTTCTTTGTTTTGCTCTTCTCTTCTCTTGTCTTCTCTTGTCTTCTCTTCTCTTCTCCTTTCCTTTCCTTTCTTTTCTTTTCTTTTCTTTTCTTTTCTTTTCTTTTCTTTTCTTTTTTTTAAAGACAGTTTTGTTGTGTCATCCAGGCTGGAGTGCAGTGGCACAATCTCAGCTGACTGCAACCTCTACCTCACCAGTTCTGGCAATTTGTGCCTCAGCCTCCTGAGTAGCTGGGATTACAAGCATGCACCACCATGCACTGCTAATTTTTGTATTTTTAGTAGAGATGAGGTATCGCCCTTGGCCAGGCTGGTCTCCACTTCCTGGCCTCAAGCAATTTGCCTGCTAAGCCTCCCAAAGAGTTGGGATTACAGGCATGAGCCACCAAGCCTGGCTAGAATTTCTAATGAACAAGTAAGATGTCCTAAGCAGTGCTGTTTCACTCATTTCATTTCCCATATTCTCACAAACTCAGCCCAGGAGAGAGTGAAAACTGGAATATCTAAGTGGAAGCGCTCTGAGGGACCATCAAGCCCTATTTCTCATTTTATAGATGGGAATCATAAGGCCCACAGAAGTGAGGATACTGACTAAATGTCACCCAGCAAGTGAGTGTGAGAAATAAGATTAAGAGGGAACTGAGCATGCAAGTTCTTGCCAGAGGACACTAGGGCATGTTTTGATGTTGGTGTGGATATAGTATTTTCCTGTAGAGTTGAAGGTAGAGAGGAAGGGTGAGTCTAAAGGAATGAAGTAATGTCTTTAGTGGAGACAGAGGCTGAACACCCACAAAGTCAGTATATTTCTAAATGGTACCCAGGGTCCCCAATTAGGGCTGCATTTTTTCATAAATTTTATTGAAAATAAATTAACTATCTTTCTGGTTGTTTCATTCCATTCTGTCTTGCCTAATTTTCAGGCCCATCCATGCGTCTCACTTTCCAAGCAAATGAAATAAAATTTATGTCTTTGGGACTTGGGATGAATCATGGTTTTGGCTCCTTCTCTCCAATAATTTCTTGGAGAAGGCTGGGTGAGGACCCATCTGGGGTTTTGCCTCTCCTTTCTTCATCCTCTCTCATTGAGGGGCATGGTGTCTTACCTCTGCCTCCAGGCCAATTCTCTCCCAGGAACAATCCTGTGCTTAGAACAGGGGACCCCAACGAGAACCAACCAGACCAGCCTGTACCTGACACCTCCTGCTTTTTCATTAGCCCAAGACCTGTCACATGGACTGATTCTCTGTCACTGCCTTCCTGTGTTGTTCCCTCTGCCTCTAACTGTATTACTAAGTTATATATTTGCTCCCCCAGGTAAGCTCCAAACTCCATTAAACAGGTCTCTGTCTAGAACGCAGTGCTTAAAACATGAATAGACCCCAAATAAACACTCAGGTACATCTTGCTGGATGAGCAAGGTAGGTGGGGGGATTGGTAGGTGTGTGAATAGGTAGGTAGCTACGTGGATGGATGAGTGGCCGGTAGAGTGATAAGTGGGAAGATGGTTGAGCAGGGAGAAAGATTAGTGAAGAAAGCATGGATATTTGATACATGAATGCATGGATTATGGATGGGTGGATGATTGGGTGAATAAGTGGATTGAATTGAATGTAAAGATGGATAGGGTAGTGATGGGATAGGTGGGCCTATTGATGGAGGCTGTTTGAATGAAAGGTGGAGAAGTGCATTGGTATGTGGATGGAGAGAGTTAAGTATAGAAATGATGAATATGTATTTTGATGGGTATGAAAGAGTGTGTGCGTGTGTGTGCAGAGAAAGGGAGAGGAGAGAGGTCAATAATAGGAGGATTAACTAAAGGCTAGATGGACAAGTGAGTCTGTAGAAGAAAGATGAGTAAGAAAGGTAAGTGGATAGACATATGGAGTGGGCAAAGAGCTAAGTTGAAAAGTGTGTCAGTGGAAGGATAGGAAGGATAGGTGAGTGGGGATTGGGTATTTGCATATGTGTTGCGTGAATGGAGAGGTAAGTAAAGGGATTGAATAATTAGTGAGTAAATAGGTGGGTGGAAACATGAATGTACAAGTAAAAGCATTAACCAAAATTAAAAAGAATTATCTAGAGAACAATGTATACTACTCTAAAGTAATACATGTGAAAATATAGGGAAAATGGATCAATTTTACCAAAATACAAAAGACCAAAATTTGCAGAAGAGGAGGTAGAAAACCTGCAGACTATAAGACAAAATATTTAAAAATTACTAAAATATACCACTAGAAAGAATCTGATCTAGATGCTTTTGGAGCTGAATTTTGGTAGCCTTCAAAAAACACTGAATTGCTATATTATGTAAAATATTTCAGAGCATAGAAAAAGTAGATAGGTTGCCCAATTAGTTCCCATACTCATTTTTTGAAAGTAATATGACCCAAATAGGAAAAACAAATTTAAAAAGACCTATTTTTCTTTTGACTATAGATGTGAAAATTCAAACTATACTATTAGCTAAAAAGAACCAATAATATATTGATACAACACACTGCAATTAAGTTTATTAAGAATGCAAGGATGACTCAAGAAAATTTAATAATTTATTATGCCAACAAATTAGAAGAGAAAAATAATTATGTGACTGTATGCTTAAAAGGTATTTGATAAAATTCAGCAGTCATTTTCAGTAGTAGCTATAAATGGACAGGAAATAAGCTTAAAAAGAAAATAACTGGCCAGGCACGGTGGCTCCCACCTGTGATCCCAGTACTTTGGGAGGCCGAGGCGGGTGGATCACCCGAGGTCAGGAGTTAGCGACCAGCCTGGCCAACATGGTGAAACCCCATCTCTACTAAAAATACAAAAAATTAGCCAGGCATGGTGGTAGGCGCTTGTAATCCCAGCTACTTGGGAGGCTGAGGCAGGAGAATCACTTGAACCCGGGAAGGAGAGATTGCAGTGAGCCGAGACCCTGGGCAACAAGAGCAAAACTCCACCTCAAAAAAAAAAAAGAAAAGAAAAAAGAAAATAATTTAAGTGCAATAAGACTTATGCATTCCAAATTCAACAACAAATATCTTTTTATATTGCAGGAGACATTGACTTTAAAATAAGGAACTAGACAAGGATGGATGCCATTGCCTTTATTTTCATTATTATTTTGGAGCTTCTATACAACACAAGAAGACAAGAAAATAAAGTCATGAAGTTGAAAAAAGTCAAATATATCATCACTTTCAGATGATGGGATTATATATAAAATCAAAGTAACATCATTCAATATTGTGATACTCAAGATAATTTGGCAAGTTGGATGCAAGACAAAACTGACAGGTCTTTATTATGCTACTCATAATTAATGATTTTGATGATAATATTTTCTACTTACTATTCAATGCTTGGGATCCGTACATTTCAGTCCACAAAGTGAGCAGCACTTTTCCACCAATGGGCACTCATCATCCTGCAGGCACCTGGGTTTATCGATCTGGGCACATAGCAAGGGCTTGCGTGGGCAGAAACCTTGTTTGACTTTATGGGGTAAAAGAAAACACTTGACCTTGAAATACTTGGTCATAATTTGAGACAAATTTGGGGAATCTTGGGAAACTCAAACAAGGTTTTATTCTGATTAAGATTCTTGCCTTTCCCCCTATAGTAACAATAGACTGGAGGAGGCAGAGTATCAACTTTCTATGATAACTTGAGGAGCATCAAGAAAAGTCTTGCCATCTCTGACTTGTACCATCTGATAGGATTCCTGTCTGCTGCTACAGAATTAATGGATCTGGGTTATATAACCCCAGAAAACCACAAGTAGCAGGAGTATTAGATAGCACACAGAACCTTCTTGTTTTATAAATTGTAGGCATTGAGGAGTATTTAGAGGGAAACGAGTTGCCCAATGCCACGTAGAAAGCCAGTAGAAAAGTTGAAGTAGGTTGAAAAGCCTTTGACTCCTGCCACCACGCTATACTGAACCTTAGAACCTTAAAGCCATACCTGGACAATCCCTGGGACTACACGGGGGAGTAAACACCTGCGTTATAGGAGGCAGGAAAGTTGGCTTCTATCCAACATCATTTGCTACTGATGTTTTCCCCAGCCTGTCTTACACAATATGAATATGATGTGCATGCTCTGAAGTTCTGTGCAGACATGAAGGCTTATTAGGAATACACCTCATGGTTATGAATCTTTTATGAGTTGGTGAATATTGTCACCTTGCAAGTCATTGAGGAATGAGACTCGGAAAAAATAAGTTTTCCTGGGAAAGAATAGAGAGCAATACTATGAATTATTGGCTTTGAAGAATAGCACAATAGTCTTCAGAGGTCAATATAACTTGTTGGGCATTAAAAGGGGTTTCAAAGGATCCTCAAAGATGAGCCCAAGGGGCATCCGAGGTTCAAGACACCCCCCCCCCACTCCATGAGACAGCATGGCATCCTTGCCACATGCCCAATAGATTTGGGAGGTATATCCCCAGTCCTTACCTGTCCAGGCCCTGGCACAAACAAAGCCACACCTGGATTCACAACATTTGTCTGTCTGGGGACAATCGATGTCACTGTGACATGAAGGTGGACACTCCTTACGTCCAGTGACAGGGAAGAGTGGGCATTGTCCATCCTTAACTAAAATAAGAGCAAATGTGAGCTTCTTAAAACCTCACCCCCATCCCACCACCCTTCAAAGAGCCTTTCCTTCTCTTCAAAGCTAGTATCCCTTTCTGCAACTTGGTTCACCCTACCCTATCCATCTCCAATAGGCTGTGGAAGAATGAAATGTCTCATCACATCATGGGATGTGGTAGAGAGCGTGCTGGGCTTGGTGCCTTAAGCCCCATGGTAAAGTCCCAGTCCTGCTACTTAGTGAGTTTCCTTCTCTATAAAATGGGGATAATTATGTGAAATCTACACAAATCAGTGTAAGCCATTTTAGGGTATTTGGTTTTATTAGAATGAAATGGGGATCCATCGCAGTGTTCTCAGTAGACAAGTGATATGGCCTGACTCATGTTTTGAAAGGGTCATTGTAACTACTGTTTTGATAATAGATTGTAAGGAGGATAGAAGCAAGGAGACATTTTAGGAGGCTTTTGGGGTAATCCAAGTAAGAAGATGGCTCCTCAGATCAGGGTGGCAGCTGCGGAGGTGGTAAAGTTTTAACAGATTTGGGATCTACTTTCAAGGTAGAACTAAAATTATTTCCTAACTTAATGGATGTTAATTGATAAAGAGAGGCATCAAGTGTGATTGTGAAGTTTTTCAATCAAGATGAGAAGCATGGATAGAACAGGTTTGCGTTAGGGGAGTGATGGTAAGAGGTACTGGTTTATGTTTATGTTTAGCTTATTTTTCTTTTTTTAGACAGGGTTTCCTACTGTCACCCAACTAAGCCTCAACTTCCCCAGCTCAAGTGATCTTCCTACCTTCTCAAGTGATCTTCCCAGCCTCCTGAGTAGCTGGGACCACAGGTGCGTGACACTATGCCTGTTTTTTTGTTGTTGTGTTTTTGGTTGTTTTTTTGTTTTTGTTTTTTTGTTGTTGATCGTAGAAATTGGGTCTCACTATGCTGCCTAGGCTGGTCTCAAACTCCTGAGCCCAAGTGATCCTCTTGCCTCAGCCTCCCAAAGTGCTGGGATTACGGGTGTAAGCTACTGTGCCTGGCCCAAGGTTCTGTTTAAGCAAGTTCAACATGAGATGTTTGCGAGGTCCAAGTGGAGATATAGAGCAGATAGTGGAGTTTGGGAGTCAGATTAGGGCTGGAAACACAATTTTGTGAGTCATTAGGACATAAGTGGTATTTAAATCAGTTCTTTGGGGTTTTGTGCATGTATGCTCTTTTCCTCATCTGACTGCAAATTCTACAAGGGCTTCCCAGGTCAGGCTCAGGCTATGATGTGTTGAACTCCCAGAGGTATTATCAGGTTGCCTCTGAGTCTTAACTTAAATTTTCCACAAACCGACCCAAGCCCATTTCCCTGGCCTCCTCTTCCTGATGGCTCCTGGGAGAGGAGACAAGGGTCTTGTCCACAACATCATGATTCCTTACAGCTTCCCATGAAGGGAAGCTTGTGGTCTTAGTTTCAAGTCAGGTCCCAGGATTGCCTTGGACGTTTAGGCCCATGGGTCCATGGAATTAAAATTCCACCCCTACTCCTGACCAACTGTGGGTCCTCAGGCAACTAACTTTACCTCTCTGCCTCTGTTCTCTCATCTGTAAAGTGGTAGTAATGGTACATTTTTCAGCTTGCCTCACAATCTGTGGTCGAAACTGCAATGCTGCCTTATAAATCACACAGTGTTGCATTGTGAAGATCACTGGTAACCATCTCAATTGTTACCATTTAGTGAACCCACACCACGGGACCCCCACTATATCAAGTCTTTGTGTTTTAAATAATGTATAATCCTACCAACAACTCAATGAGCTGTTTGCTGTGACTCCAGAATTACAGAAGAGGGAACTGAAACTCAAAGAAGTGAAGAAAGCAGCAAGTGGGAAAAGTCAGATTTTAATTCAGGTCATTTTACTTCTAAGTTTGGTAGGACACTGTCTCCCAACATTGCTGGTGATGACCATTATACTAAGGAATAAATCCACAGCCTTCACCTTCACCCCACCCTACTCTCCACCTCCAGTGTGGACACTTACTCCATGGGATTCCATTCTTACACAAATCCTCAGTATGATGCTCAACAGGTTACTATCATGAGGAAACACCTTCTTCCAAGGGAGCACACCTGGCTTTCGGGTCACATTGGCCAAGATCTATTAACATTTTCTATACACTATCTCATTTTTGGCAGAGCCACTCCATTAGGTAAATACTGTTATTAACCTCATTCTATAGACAAGGAAACTGAAGCTTATAAAGGCAGGCAACTGGCCCAAGACCTCCCAGCCAGTGAATGACAGAGTTAAGTCTTGAACCAAGGAACTTTAACCTCAAATCCTGAGTCTATAACCTCACTGGTATACTATTTCTAGTTAAACTAGACCCTCAGATTTCCAGGATACGGGTCTCACCAACTAACATGCAGGCCGTTCTGCAGTCATTCTCACTCAAGAAGTTGTTGGCATTCCCTTTGCAGCCCCTGTATGTGAAGGGTGTGCAGCGATAATTTTTAAAGTCAAAATACCAGCGCTGTGCATCATGATTACAGTTTCCTTGTCTCACAGGTAGCGTGCAGGGTTCTGAAGTCAGGAAGCAAGGAAGGAAGGACATGAAGAGTAGAGATAAAAGAACAGGGTCAGTTCCCTAGCATTTGCCATAACTCCTGGTGTTATCACCCACATCAAAAAAGGAGCCATGGCAGGGAAAAAAAAAGGCATAGGTTCTGGTCCCAGTTCTACTACTAATAGTCTATGTTGTATGGCACCTCTGAGCATCACTCCTTCCTTGCAAAGAATATTACAAGGTGCATATAAGAATCTTGTACTTTGGAGCTGATCTTTCTTCTCCATTGTACTGAGCTTTGGTAGGGCAAGACTTGTTCAGCAACTATTAGGTTGGTGCAAAAGTAATTGTGGTTTTTGCATTGTTGAAATTTGCTGTTTGGTATTAGAATACATTCTTAAATAAATGTGGCTATATTATACATCATTTTAATGCACATTTCTTGCTTCATGTACTTTTGCTAATGACTTATTATTTGCTCTTTATATTTATTTTAGACTATGGAAATTATGTTAGACAAAAAACAAATTCGAGTGATTTTCTTATTTGAGTTGAAAATGGGTCTTAAAGCAGCAGAGACAACTTGCAACATCAACAACACATTTAGCCTGGGAACTGCTAAGAAATGTACAGTGCAATGATGGTTCAAGAAGTTTTGCAAAGGAGACGAGGGCCTTGAAGATGAGGAGCATAGTGGCTGGCCATTGGAAGTTGACAATGACCAATTGAGAGCAGTCATCAAGGTTGATCCTCTTACAACTACACAAGAAGTTGCCGAAGAACTCAACGTTGACCATTCTATGGTCATTCAGCATTTGAAGTAAATTGGAAAGGTGAAAAGCTCGATGGGTGGATGCCTCATGAGCTGAGCAAAAATTTAAAAAATATATTGGTTTGAAGGGTCGTCTCTTACTCTATGCAACAACAACAAACTATTTCTCAATCCAATTGTGACATGCAATGAAAAGTGGATTTTACATGACAACCAGTGACGACCAGCTCCGTGGTTGGACTGAGAAGAAGCTCAAAAACACTTCCCAAAGCCAAACTTGCACCAAAAAAAGGTCATGGTCATTGTTTGGTGGTCTGCTGCTGGTCTGATCCACTATAGCTTTCTGAATCCTGGCAAAACTACTACATCTGAGAAGTATGCTCAGCAAATCAATGAGATGCACTGAAAACTGCAGTGCCTACAGCCAGCATTGGTCCACATTGGACCAACTGGCAGCCAGAAAGGGCCAACTGGTCCACAGAAAGGGCCAATTCTTCTCCACAACAACACCCAACCACACATCACACAACCAACACAAAAGTTGAATGAATTGGGCTACAAAGTTTTGCTTCATCCACCATATTCATCTGACCTCTTGCCAACCAAATACCACTTCTTCAAGTATCTCAACAACTTTTTGCAGGGAAAACACATCCACAAACAGCAGGATGCAGAAAATGTTTTCCAAGAGTTCGTCAAATCCTGAAGCATGGATTTTTACGCTACACAAACTTATTTCTCTTTGGCAAAAATGTGTTGATTGTAATCGTTCCTATTTTGATTAATAAAGATGTGTTTTGTTTTGTTTTGTCCTTGTTGAGAAGGAATCTCGCTGTGTCACCCAGGCCGCAGTGCAATGGTGTGATCTCAGCTTACTGCAACCTCTGCCTCCCTAGTTCAAGCAATTCTCCTGCTTCAGCCTCCTGAGTAGCTGGGATTACAGGCACCCCCCACCATGCCCAGCTAATTTTTGTATTTTTAGTAGAGACAGGGTTTCACCATGTTGGTCAGACTGGTCTTGAACTCCTGACATCAGGTGATCCACCCGCCTTGGCCTCCCAAAGTGCTGGGATTACAGGTGTAAGCCACCATGCCCAGCCAATAAAGATTTGTTTGAACCTAGTTATAATGATTTAAAATTCACGGTCCAAAACTGCAATTACTTTTGCATCCAAAGTGCCTAACAAAGTGCCTAGTACCTAGAAATAATGAAATACCAAGGAAGAGACAGCCCCTGACGTCTGAAAACTGATCTGACACTCCCAGCTAAGCCACATGGATTCTCTGTTGGAGATCTAAAAATCTCCTAGAACATCTAAATCAAACAAGGTCACTCTGAGATCATGATGAAGTGAGACAAAAACAAGATCACCATGAAACCTGCAAAATACCAAACACCCATCACCTTCTAAGCTAACATGAGTGACTTACGCTTCTCTACCATCAATCACAGCTTTATTCTCAGTCTGGTCTGCATTCTGTATAGTTAAGATTCCCTGGGATAGCCAGTCATAGAATTGCCCCCTCTTTCTGACAGCACTCAATCTAGAGCAAACTCTCACTTCTTTAGACCCTCCCCCGAGTTACCCAATCAAAGCCCAAATCCTATAATAGATTCTTTCTAACAGCTTCTTACTGAAATGCCTCAAACTTGTCTAGGGTGAATATTTTCCCTCACTTCAATGAGTACTAAACCCAACTTGTTCAACTACAGGTGTATTCTGGTGGTCTTTTCAAAGGGCGTTAACGACAAATATTTGATGAGTGGATAAATGTATGAGTGAATGAATAAATGAATCTTTTTTAAAAGCACACAGTTCCCCACACATATTGGATAGATGCCCAATACATTGAGTTACCAGAAAACCTCCTTGAAGATCAAAGAGTCTGAAAAATAATGCCAGTATCTAAGCTGACTGAGGTTTCATTTTGTCACAGTGCCACAATAGTCTCTCACAGAGTGAGCATGCAACAAGTATTAGTTATTTGTGAATGATTGAATGTGGGACCCAAGAAGACCAGCATCAATATCATGGTAGTTGATGGTCACCATGCCTAGACTTATGATTTGTACTTGAGGGTTAGACATTGAATAAGAGAATGAGAAGAGCACAGGCCCTGGGTCCTTGTCCTGCCATCCAAGGGAATCCCTCAGCCAGTTTTGGACAGAGCAAGAAGTGCGGAACCTCTGTCCTCAGCCTGGACATCACTACCTTGAAAGGGATCCATGCACTTCTTCTGACAGGCAAAAAGGCAGCACTTTAGGTATTCCTGGCAGTCAAAATCTGTGTTACATGAATTCGGAAGTTCAGCGGTACAGGCGAGCCTCTCTTTGGGACACAACCCTGGTTTCTCTGCAAGAAAGAAATGTCCAAACTCACATTCATTCAGAATTTCAGCTTTTTTTCTCCTATGGCAAAGGTGTGTAGTGAAATTCTCTCAGCCCTATCCTCTACCTTCAATTCTTAGCTCTTGCTCTGCTTCTATTCAGGGGCTAGTTCTGTTTCTCAGCACTCAGATTCGTTCAAATGGATCTGAATCAGGAATTTGTGTCCAAGAAGAACTGAAGGAGAAGCATGTTGGATTCCAGGGCAAGGGGTTAGGAAGGGACCAAGGCCCTTTCCCTAAATTCAAAAGAGTTTCTCTCTTCTTGAAAGCTAATATTTTAATTCTTAATTCCTTTGTCTCTAGTTGATAAAAGAAACTAGTAAAGACTGGTGGAAACACCATGGAAGTAGAGGTCAGGAGGCCTGATTTGACCCTTGACTCCTGGTAAACTCAAGACCGATCTGAACTCAGTTGTATGATTTTTAATTTACCTCTAAGGAGTAAGAAATGGTGAAGTGGAAGAAGCATTATAGTCAGGCAGATCTGGCTCAGGAGCCTGGCTCCAATACTAACCAACTAAATAATCTTGGGAAAGTATTTCCCTTCATCTGAGTTATATTTTCCATCTTTAAAATGAGAATGACAATTCCTGCCTTACAGGTTGATTATAAGAGTTCAATGGGGTGATGTCTATAATGCTTGGGGTAAGATCTTGGCAGATATGGAGTTGCTTCCTACCTTTTATTTTTATTTTTATTTTTTTTTACTAAAAACTAGAAGAGGTAAGGGGAAAAAAACTATAGCACCCAGTGTTTCCAGTCAGCCTCCCATCCAAGTACTAACCAGGTCTGACCCTGCTTACCTTTTGAGATCAGACAAGATCAGGCATTTTCAGGGTGGTATGGCCATGCTTCCTTCCTTTTTGAGGCTAGACATGGCTTCCTGATTTCAGTACTTGTGGTAGGTAGAATCTAAAGTTGCACCCTCAAGATTCCCAACTTCTGATTATTGAATCAAACACTAATCTAGGCAATGCTGTGAAGGGATTTTGCAGAAAAATTAAAGACCCAAGTTAGTTGGGTCATCTCTGGCCCAGACCTAGTCAATTAGGTCCTTGAAAAGCAGAGCTTTCTTCTGGTTGGTAGAGAAGAATTGATCAGAGAGATTCAAATGATGAGAAGTATCTAACAAGCTATTCATAGCTTTGGAGATTGTTGAGGCCAAGTGCCAAGGCATGAGGGTGGCATCTAGAAGTGACAGCCAGTAAAGTAGCCTCAGTCCTACAACTCCAAGGAAACAATTCTGCTACAACCAGCGAGCTTGGGAGAGGACCTTGCATCCCAAATGAGAACTATAGCCCTGGCTGACATTTCAATCTCAGCCTGGAAAAAAACGGAGCAAAGAACCCAGATGCACAATGCCAGACTTCTGACCCACAAACAATTTGTTAGGTAGCAAAGGATGGCTCATATAGCGTTTAATGTGTCTCCATGATTCTAAACTGAGTATCCCTCCAATGGAATCTGGCCAGAGAGGCATGATCCTTTCAGATACTACTGAGTTTTGGAACTGTAGAACTTTGGAATAGAAAGAACTCTATTATCGTTGGTACCAAACTTCTGATTTCACAGATTAAAAGAAATGAGGTACGATAAGATAATACAATGCATTAGGGGCACGTCTGGGATTTACAGTCCAGGACTAACTTAAGGAGACCCACATCTTCCCTGAGGACTGGCCACTGAGACTTTGAGTACTTTCCAACAATACTTCTTGTCATTAATGATCCCTCCAGGAATGGGCTGAAGCTAAGAAGAGTATGTGGTTCCTAATTTGGAGTGTACATCAAAATCATCTATGCATGTTTCAGAAAATATAAACTCTAGGCTGAATCAGAATCTCTAGAAAGTGCATCTTTGGGACTCCACTTTTTAAAAAGAACCTCAGGTGATCCTAAAGCAGGCAGTGGGCACCAGGAGGTAGGCTGTTCCTTGGGAACCATTGTTCTAGGTTTAGCAGACAGAGAGTTTGGCAAATCAAACTGGGTTTGTGTCGTTGAAGCTCCTTTCCCCATTGCCAGCTTGAACTCTCACTTATTAATAAAAACCCCGCCTCCGCTTCTTGTCAGCTCTTCTTAACCACTTGCTTGTGTGTATAAGCACACCTCACAGGTTTCTCTGCATCTACTGGGGATGCTTCCCAGACATCTGGTCTCAACTGTCTTCTGACATTACTTGACACATACTTCCTGGGTGATCCCACTCATTCCCACAATCCCAACTATGATTCTCATCTCTTCCTCCAGACTCATCCTCTATTCCAAACTAAAGACTCATTTCGACCTGCCTGGGAAAAACACCATCTAAGCATCGCAGAAGCACGTCTGTTCTAACATATTTAAAACAGAACTATTACCTCCTTATGCCCAAGCACTACCTTACTTTCTATTCCGCATCTTGACATTTGGCATCAACAGGTCCAGTCTGTTATTAGAATCCAGAGATGCACTCCTTCCTCTCTGCCACCCCAGTATCCTGTCAGTCATGGACTTGGGTCAACTCTGTCTCCTAAACCTCTCTCCAAACCCTGTCTCCTGCCTCTCTTTACTACCACTCCCTCAGATCAACACCTGATCTCATCCCTTGTCTCTTCTCAACTACTGCAGCAGCCTCCTCACTGGTCCTCTCCTCTCAGGCTCATGCCTAGTGACTTATTAATTTAAAAAAAATTAAACTTGTGTGTGTGTGTTTGTGTATGTGTGTGCAGTGGGAATGAATGTGATCACCCAAGAAGTATGTGTTGAGTGATATCATAAGACAGATGAGACCATATCTCTGGGAAGCATCCCCAGTAGATGCAAACTATATACATAGTCTCCTTCCATATATGCATATGGAAAAGTTAGGGAAATAATTTGAGGGGAACAAGTAAGGAAAGTATGTGGAGGGCCAGGGTGGTGAGCAGGGGTAGCTTTCTGTGGCCCCAAATCCATGGCAGAGGGGACCTCATCTGACACTGGCGCTGGCCTCATGTCTAACCCTCATCCTCAAGAATACTTTCTAAGGAAGAATGGCTGCAGGTTTTTTGAACTCACGTTTGTTCTTCTTGTGCAGCAATGCAGATGTCCACTCCAAAGCAAGGGAGAGAAGCAGCAGGAAGGCTACATTCCTCCAGGAGAAGGTGGGGCTGTAGAGAGGAAGGTGCCTGTGTGGATGAGAAGAGAGGTGGGAGTTAAGCACAATCCAGAGAGAGACACAAAGTATGTGCAGAGGAACCTTAGAGATGATCCACCAGGTCCCTTTAGTTCACAGGTAAGAAGACTGACACCAGCATGGGGAAGGGGTCTGTCTGAGATCAGATGGTGAGTTATGGTGCATCTAAGACATTCCGTTTCAGGACCCTGACCAATCCCCATACCTTGCCATGGTGCTGTACTTTGTGCTACACAGACACTTGCCTATTGTTTTGCTCCTGGGTAAGAGGCCACACTTAAATGATCACAAGAACTTGTTTGGCACAGTTGCAGAGCTGGTTTGCCCGCAGTCACTCCAGGGGCAACCCCAGACACTAGTGAGCATCTTTTCTTTGCTCCACTGATGACAGAAATGGATGGTATGAGATTTTCCAGAGGGCCTGGGCACACTCTACTGGATCTTGGTGTACCAGAAGCAAGAATGATCTCAGATGACCTTGGGTTAACAAAGAAATTCCTTTCATTCCTTCTGTTACTATCCAAGCCTAGGATCTTATGATACTCCCAGACAACCAGATGAACAGATGAGCTTCCCCCACCTACTCAAGCCCCCATTTCCCACATGTGTTTTCATGATCCTTATGTATTTTTTATTTTAAGGCATGAAAAACTAATAATCCCTTACTGTATTAACTCTTAGAGTGCATTCATTTAAAAAATGTAAGAGGTGGGTAGAGAGAGAAAGAGGAAGCAAGAGACAGAGAAAACATCTGTATGCCAAAATATACGTCTGTACTGGTGGAACTTCAGATACTGAGAAAGCTATGACAGTATCTTGGAATAGAGTCTCTTCCAGAGTTCCTGAAGCCATACCATGCAGCTGCCTAAAAGTAAAGACTGTGACAATTTATCTCCCCGATCTTTCTTGTTGGGGGAGTTCTAATCATGTATCCTCTTCAAATTTTACAATAGTGCCTGTACTCTTTGGTCATGGAAATTATGACCCCAAACATAGTGATCTTGATTTTGGGCGTGGCTCAGTCCCTTATAGCAGCATATCTTGGATCCTCTGTTTCCTCATCTAGAAAGTGGGAACAATGCAGTTAACCTGGAAGCTTTGTTGTCATTGTGAGGATTAAGAAGATTTAATGAAGTGGTATGGAGTGGTAGGAAACGTAGCATTCAGAGTTAGACCTGAGTTCACATCCTTAATCCACCACTTACTGACTGTGTGGCCTGGGCTCAGTCACTTCACCTCACTGAGCCTCAGTTTGTCATAAAAGAAACAATAATAACACCTACCTCATAGACATGAGAATTACTTGAACTATTTTTGTAAAGCTGGCTTGTAAATCAGTGTTTATTGTATTTTAGTCAATTAACAAATAATGAATGGCAACAGTGAATGCCAAAAAATGTTCCTATTACCATTTTAGCTTTTGAGTTCCCTAGTCAGAGACTGTGTAAATCATTCCTTTAGTTCCCCTAAAAGATTAGCCAAAAGGCCCTCTGGTGCTTTACATTTTTATTATCAAGTCACTCTATGGGTTTGAAATTTTACCCATTAGCCTGCAGTCAGTTAGAAGAAAGCAGACCTCATGGGATGGAGGCAGGGGAGAAACACAAATTAATAGAATTGCCAAACATAATAGAGGATGTCCATTTATAATTTTAGCATAAGTATATCCCATGCAAGATAAGGAACATAGTTCTACTAAAAAATTATTTGATGTTTATCTGACATTCAGATTTAACTGATCATCCTCTATTTTTATTTTCTAAATCTGGCAACTTTGACACAGAATGAATCCATTTTGGTTGGACTGGGGTTTGTTTGGGCAAGAGACTACAAAACACAGGTCTTACAGGTAACAAATGAGTGTGATTGCGAGAGTTGCTAAGTGGGGGCCCTGAAGAACTAGGACAGACCTGGAATACACGGACACAAATGTGCTACATAAATAATATACCAGGTTCTGGGCACAGTGGCTCATGTTTGTAATCTCAGCACTTTGGGAGGCCAAGACAGGAGGATCACTTGAGCCCAGGAGTTCAAGACCCACTTGGGCAACATAACAAGACCCTGTCTCTACAAAAAAAAAAAAAATTAAATGAAAAACCTTAGCCCAGCATGGGCTGGGCGAGTTGGCTCATGCCTGTAAACCCAGCACTTTGGGAGGCCGAGGCGGGCAGATTACAAAGTCAGGAGATCAAGACCATCCTGGCTAACACGGTGAAACCTCGTCTCTACTAAACAAAATACAAAAAAATTAGCCGGGCATGTTGGCGGGCGCCTGTAGTCCCAGCTATTCGAGAGGCTGAGGCAGGAGAATGTCGTGAACCCGGGAGACAGAGCTTGCACTGAGCCGAGATCACACCACTGCACTCCAGCCTGGGTGATAGAGCGAGACTCTGTCTCAAAAAAAAAAAACTTAGCCCAGCATGGTGGCGCACACCTGTGGTTTCAGCTACTCAGGAGACTCAGGTGGGAGAATCACTTGAGCCCAGGAGGTCAATGTTGCAATAAGCCACGATCATGCCCCTGCACTTCAGCCTGGGTGACAGAATGAGACCCTGTGGAGGAAGGAAAGGGAAAGGAAGGGGAGGGGAGGGGAGGGGAGGGGAGGGGGAAAGAGAGAGAAAGAGAAAAAGAGAGAAAGAGAGAAAGAGAGAAAGAGA